AGATACTGTCTCAAAAAAAAAAAAAAAAAAAAAAAAAGTAAATGTTTTTCTGTTCTGCAGAGATACAAATGATTCCTATTTGGTCAGAAAATTTACCCCAAAGGTTATAGTTTTGCTGCTCTGTAGCACATTAACCAGTTTTGTATCTAACTTTGTGATCTTACGTCAGCATTCCTTTTCGTTCCGAGTACACAAACTCTGTTCTCATAACCTCTCTGAACCAGAGTTGCCACCTTGCAAAATCCCTTATTAATGAGTTACCTACCTCACTGATACACACTCACCATCTCTTGTCAAGTCTTCATATTCCTCTCCCTGTAGAGTCCCACAAATACACTACCAGCTTGCAATGCACACCAAGCGTCCATCGTTGATTCCGTGTCCCAAGTGGCTCCTCTGGAGTACATGCATGGCATCGGGGTTACATAGGGCTTTTTATTGTCAAAAGTGTACAGACTCAACACATTATTCCAAATAATCTCTGCCCCTGCCCCCTCACATTTTGATCATGCCGTATCTGTGACCTAGGGCTGGGGACTGGCCCTCAAGATGCCTACAATGCTCTCGGCCCCTGCTAAGAGCCTCTGCCCACACACAGGGTCTTGTGCCTAACCCTAGAGGTCTGGGCACGGGGCTGGATGAACTGTGGCACGCACCTGATCCAGGCAGCAGCCCACTTCCTGGTTGGTCAGCCAGTGAAGGAAGGCTCAGCCCAACCAGGCCAGTGAGATTCTCTGTCTTGGCAAATTGCTTAGAGTGAAGACTTGGTACTAAAGGAGAGATAAAGCAGGCACTTGAGGCCCCGAAGCAGCAGACCCTTAAATAAGCAGCAGGAGGAAGATCCCTGTGGAGACAGAACACCTGAGTTTGACACGCAGCGCACCGAGCTTGGAAGCACAGAACACCTGAGCTTTCCACACGGCGCACGGGGCTTGGAGGCCCCCCTGCTGAGGGGCAAGAAGACAGAACGTCTGTTGTAGAACTGTGTTTGATCTCGAAAGACCTCTCAGTTCCTGAGTGGTGTCTTGGGTTCTGTCAGGCTCCACACAGTTTCTGCTGCTCCTCTTCCTCCCACAGGCTGAACTGTGTGGCATTTCCAGCGTTCCACCTGTCCTTTGGTCTGTGGCCCTTAGTTTTTTATCCACATGTGGCTGTAAAACTAACTCCACAGTCTTGGAGGAAACTCAGTGGGTCCCTTCTTCTTCCAATCCAAAGACCTCGACTCACTCTCTCACCTTTTCTAATAACTGAATAAGTTAAATAATAATATAAGAACTGCTACCTTTGTTCAGCCAGCTCTCTCCAGGCTCATCAATGATTTTCTAGGAAAAAATAATTTTCCTTACACAGACCTGCCCTTCCTCTGTCTCTCTTCATTCACGTTTCAGCATTCATTCATTGCCTCCTCGAGCACATCATGGATTCTAAAATGAAGAAGGCAATATTTGTGCTTTGAAGAACCTCACAATTTTGCATGTGCCATGTTACAAGAGTGGGGTTGGTGCAGGAGTGAAATGGGAGGCCGTGTCCCGAGATGGGGGCACCAGAACTTGGAGTGACAAGGTAGGGGCAGGGGGAGGAGCTTTTCCTCCTGGCTTTCCCACAAACACTGACTTTCATGCCTCTGGCCTGGAACCACATGTAACCAAAGCCATATGTTCAACTTGCATTAATTAAATGGTGGCCTCAGCAGCATTTCTGGTGCTGTTTCTGTTGCTTTTGCATTATGGTGTCTTCAATATTTGTTTGTGTGTGTCATTTGTGATGTTTAACCCTGTGGCTCAGATTCTATTTGTCTGTAAAGCTTAAATGTTGAGAGACTTCTAGTCTTGATTTTAAAAAAAAAATTATTTTTGGTTTATTCCATGAGAACATTTCTTCTCTAGGTTGAACCGCCAAGGGTCTTCCTTCTTGATTTTTCTGGGAGATGACTGTAATCCTAACTGATTTTAAGCAATAGTATAAGGAAAGGCTATGCTATAAACTCAAAGTCGCAATCCCCAGTTCTCAGCCCCAAACTGAAGAAAGATTACATTTCCAATCTAGTTTCAAATCCCAAATATCCAGTCACCCAGGATGGCGGAAGAAGGGAAAAGGCGGTGCCTTAAACTAGGGAGGGACATCTCCGGCTTGGCCCAGTTCTTGCTCTTCCCAGGGGCCACCCTCAAGCCCCACCCTGAGCAGGTGGGTGAGGCAGGCGGGCAGCCCGCGAGCACGTGTGGGAGGGAATCCAATGGTGTCCTCCAGGCTGTAAGAGCTGGGTAGACACCGTGGTGCTGCAGCCCTGGCCCTATTTTTCTTTTCCACAAAGACCAATACCAGTGCTGGTGACATCAGGACAGGTTTGATCATTTTTATTTTAGGGTGAGGGCGGTGTCATGGTGATGAGGGGTCCTGTGAGCTTGTACAGGTCCCCAGAACTGCAGGCCATCCAGGCTTCCTCCTCTACAATAAGGACAAGGAGAACGACTGCTTCCTAAGGTGATGGTGAGGTAGGATGAGGAGTGCAAACAGCCCACGCTGGTCTCAGTGGTAACTGGGTATGATTTCTTTCTGGGAGAAGTCAGAGATTGACCTTCTGATCCTCCCACCTGTAAATTTGGGCTGGGGCAACTTTTAGACACAAACAGGACAGTCCTGGCTGTGGGGCCTCAACGTTTTCCTTGGGGTGGAGCATCTAGACATTTCCCTAAGGTTTCTGATGCCTAAGCAGGGTGGGGTGGGGTGTGCCTCATGCTGACAGCTGTTCCCCACCCAGCTTTGTGCCCTGGGAAGGGAGACCTACCTGCACATCCCGCTGCACTGGATCTGCAGGGCCACCTCGGGCACAGGCCCTCAACCCCTGCCTAACTGCTCTTTCACCCAGCCCTCGTGTCCAGGGAGATTTTGCCATGATTTCAAAGAAGAAATGATTATTCAGAAGGCATTCTTCTATATATTTCTAAGGCCCCCGCTACAATGTACAGCAAGTGGCCACACCTTTAGAATCTTCCTTGCCTAACCTAGACCTTTACAGCATTCAGCTTGGAAAAGACCCTTACAGCACTCAGCTGGGTGCCGTGATTATGCCTGTAATCCCAGCACTTAGGGAGGCCAAGGCCAGAGGATCGCTTGAGCCCAGGAGTTTGAGACCAGCCTGGGCAACATGGCAAAACCCCATCTCTAAAAAAAAAAAAATACAAAAATTAGCCGGACGTGGGGATGCACTTGTGGTCCCAGCTACTGGGGAGCCTGCTGTGATGGAAGGATTGCCTGAACCCAGGGATGTCGAGGCTGCAGTGGGCTATGACTGCACCACTGCACTCTACCTTGGGCAACAGAGTGAGACCCTGTCTCAAATAAAAACAAAATTAAAAAAAAAAAAAAGAATTCCTACCCTTAGAGGCTCCATCTTCCCCTCCCTCTTCTGGTTTCTCTTCCTGTGTCTCTCTCGTGTGTGTCTCTCTAATAAAGAACACTGAAATTAGTAAGCCAGGTTTGCCTCCTGGGCAGTATTTATGAAATCCAGGTGACCCTGGTTGTAATAGGGGAAAAAAAACCTTTATTTTGTCTGCTCAGCTTTGTCCTGGTTTTTATTTGCATATTCTGCCTCCTCCCCCAAAACTCACCATGCTGTTCTGGTGAGGCTGACCCCATCTAGATTCAGAACTGACCCAGGCCTGGCCAATCAACAAGGCCTTCAGGAACTGGTACGTGGCCCAAGTCAGTCAAATAAATCAGTCCCAGGACGCTTTGTTATTTTTGTATGTAATATTTGTAACTATTGGGAAAGTGTCTAGCTTTCCATAGGGACTGCCAACCTGTTCCAGTGTGACCCTAAGGATGCCGGCAGCCATCCTGCCACTCTCGGGGGGAACCACAGAGGCAAAGCAACTCCGAGAGCTGAGTCCTGATGATGGGTCGAAGCACCCAAATCTCGCAGTGTGTGAAGCCCCTGAACTTCCAGTTGTATGTGCTGATGAATTATCCTTTTTGCTGAAGTCTATTTGAATTGGAGTTTATGTCACTTGCAATTTAAAGAGAACTGACCACCAGCTGGCTCAAGTCTGAAGTATAAAGTGGTTTCTAGCAATCAAAAGCAATGTGTGGTCAGTGTAGTGGCTCCAGCCTGTAATCCCAGCACTTTGAGAGGCTGAGGTGGGAGGATTGTTTGAGGCCAGGAGTTTGAGACCAGCCTGGGCAACATAGCTGGACCACCATCTCTAAAAATACATAAATTAAAAATAATTTTTCTCTTTTTTGAGATGGGGTTTCACTCTTGTTGCCCAGGCTGGGATGCAATGGCACATTCTCGGCTCACTGCAACCTCCACCTCTTGGGTTCAAGTGATTCTCCTGCCTCAGCCTCCTGAGTAGCTGAGATTACAGGCACTCGCCACCGCCCCTGGCTAATTTTTTGTATTTTTAGTAGAGACGGGGTTTTATCGTATTGGCCAGCCTGGTCTTGAACTCCTGACCTCAGGGGATCCGCCTGCTCCAGCCTCCCAAAGTGCTGGGATTATAGGCGTGAGCCACCGCACCCTGCCTAAAAATAAAATTTTTAAAAAACAAGATATTTCTTCAGGTAAAAGAAAAAAAGAGGCAGGAGGAAAGAACAGAAAAACCTAGGAGGGAAGGCTTAGTCTATAAAACAGTCTTCCACTTTCTCCCTCTCTTACAACCATTCCCCTCCCTTCTTCACAGCCGGTGATCTGTCTCCACTGTGCTTTTAGCAACACAGCCTTAAAAAAGAGACTGAGAGACTCGCTCCAGTCACACAGAATTTTGGGACAGTGGTGAGGTTTTCTCCCCAGGGATCCCTTCGGTGTTTGAATCCCCCACTCTAAGAGTTGTTCCTCAGCGGCCATGGAGACCGGCATTTGGATCCCGGCCCTCACTTGGAGCAAGTGTGCCACTTTCAGAAGCCTCCCAGTCTTCCAGCTGAAGTTGACTTCAGTGGGGCAGGCAGCCTCATGCCCTACCTGGGTGCCAGTGAGAACTGGATTCAGCTTTTCTTTCTTTCCTTTTTTTTTTTTTTTTTTTTTACACTTTTTTATCTTCAATGGATTCAGCTTTGAAAGACCCCACTCTCTGCTCACAAATGGTTTAAACAAAGAGAGAAGTCCATTTCCTTCTCAGGAATGAAGTCTGGACGTAGTCTTCCTGAGGTGGTCATGAACCAGTATCTCTTTACTCTGCTTCCTCCCCATCCTCAGCGTTTGGCAGGTACTTTCCCTGACTCCCTCCCCTCCCCACACCCTTGCCATGCTGCGCTTGCCGCTCTCACTTACTGCCCAGGCTGGAACACGGAGACTCCACCAGTGAGGCAGGCTGGAAAAGGCATGCTTCATTCTGAGTGCCAGTTTCATGTTGGGGGCCCATCACTAAGGGAGAAGAGCGAAAAGGATATTTGGGGGATACTAGGAGTCTCTGACCTCTCAGGTCACCCCGTGATGTGCCACAGCAAACAACCTCACTGGAATAGCTCCACTGCTGGTGATGCCA